GGGTCTAGGGTTTGGGGTTTTGGGGTTTGGGGTTTAGGGTTTGCGGTTTTGGGTTTAGGGTTTGGGGTCTAGGGCTTGGGGTTTTGGGGTTTGGGGTTTAGGGTTTGCGGTTTTGGGTTTAGGGTTTGGGTTTTGGGTTTAGGAGGTTCATGGCTCGCTATAAGGGTTTAGGGCGGTTTAGGAGGTTTAGCAGGTTCATGGGTAGTTATGCGGGTTTAGGGTTTAAGGCTCATGGGTCGTTATGAGAAGGGTTGAGGGTCCAGGGCCTGCTAGGGTTTAGGGTCTAGGGTTTAGGGGTACCCGCAGGTGTTGCTCCCCAACATGAATCCTCCTTGAAGGTTCATGGGTACTCATGTATGGGGTTATAAGCAGATTGCTTGGGGTTCTACTTGTTCTAAACTAGTTTACCTTAATTTAATAATAGCCCTAGCTACTAAATCCACTGATCCCGTCGCTAAGCCCCGCGCATTATCGAAGTAAAGGCGGACGTTTTTGTCCTGACCTCGGCAGGCGTTGGGTTTGGAATGGGGAACACCCATCCCCTAAAGACTCCTCATTTGGAGCAACCCCCATCTAGACCCAAAAAGCCTGACCCACGAAGACTTGAATTCCCAACCGTAAACCATACTTTCAGACGTTGGATGGGCTGAATATAGAGGCCTTAATAATTAGAATAGGATTTGGGGTATAGTGTACTATAATTTGAACAAGGAGCCCCCCAAAACCCTATTCTAATTATTAAGGCCCCTACATTACTTTCATACTATTTTGGATGGGCTTCGTGGTGATGGTTGAAGCCTCCTTGGACCTCAGAGGGAGTCGATGATGCTCATGCGAATGTCTGAGTGCAATTCTTGACCAGCTTATCATGAACACTTGGAGGTTCATGGGTAGTTATAAACGGGGTTATAAGTCCCCTAATAATAATATGGGTTATAATTACAGTTACCCTACTTATAACCCCACTTGTAACTACCCATGAACCTCCAAGCAATGCTCTGTTTCATGGCTTGGGATGTTGCACGCATTGCGGACGAGCTGCAGGGTCTACTTCCCCAAAACTTCCTAAACCCCAATGCTCTTGGACAACATTGGCAAAACACACTTCAGAGTCGAACTGCTCTGACCTACTAGACCCTGAACCCCCTAAACCCTAAACCCTAAACCCTAAACCAAAACTCTAAACCCTAAACCCTAAACCAAAACTCTAAACCCTAACCCTAAACCCATCCGACCTTCGGCTTCGTTCTCTGTGGCGGCGGAAGACAAGGCGACCAGATGGAGATATTTCTTTGATCGATCCTGGAACCATGAAGCCCCAAAGCCTGAAACCTCAAAGCGCTAGACCCGTATACCCTGAAACCTAAAGCCTTGAACCCTAAACCCTAAAGCCTTAAAGCCTTAGACCCTAAACCAGAAACCCGAAAGCCTTAAATCCTGAACCCTAAAAACCCTGAAAGGCTTAAAACCCTAAAGCCCGGCGCCCTTTTTGGAAATCATCGACCGCTCTGCGCATCGCATCAAGTCGGCCCGCTGCCAGGTTTTCATGCAGCGGCCCCAACGACCTAAGTAGGTTTTAGGGTTTAAGTTTAGGGTTCTGTTCCCTCAAGCATTCCATTGAGGGCTGTTTCGGGGATAGAAGGTTTGGAATGTTGAGAGTTTCGTCCGTAAGCACCTAGTATGGAGGGTCGTCCGTTTTGCTACGGGGTAGCAATGCAGCAATGGTCCCCAGCGTACACGTGGGTTCACTAGCCCAGCCAGGCCATATTTCAAACTCTCGCGCCGAAAGTATTGAGGTGCGTGTGTCTGTGGGGTCGTTTTATGCAGGCCCGCCTCGTTAATCCCTAAACCCTAAACCCTCAACCCTAAACCCAAAACCGTACACCCCCAAAACCCTGAACCCTGAACCCTAAACCCCCCAAAACCCAAAACCCTGAACCCTAAACCCTAAATTCAGTCACTTCAGAACTGTGGGATTTGGGATCCTCTAGGTGCTGGGGATAGAAGGTTACAGGTTTTAGGCATTTGAGGTTCTTGTGGGGCGTTAGGGATGTTTAGGGTTTAGGGTTTTAGGCGTTTGAGGTTCTTGTGGGGGATTAGGGTTTAGGGTTTAGGGTTTAGGGGCGTTTCAGGTTCTTGTGGGGGGCCCTTGGGGATATAGACCCTCTCAATAATAAGGTCCCTTTTATTAGAGCCAGACGTAGTAGGGGGTTCAGAAGGGTCCCTTTAAGGGGTCTCCCTAATACTACCGAGATTCTTGGAGGTTTAGACGGAAGACCTGCTGTCTGAGACTGAGATGTTTGAGTGCTGGGTAATAGCTTACTAGACCCTCAACCCTAAACTCTAAACCCTAAAACCCTGTTTGCTGTTTTGGTAGCAGAAAGGCTAAACGCCAAAACCCTAAAGGCTAAACCCTCAACCCTAAACCCTCAACGACTCAACCCTAAACCCTGAATCCTCAAGCCTAGACCCCAAGCCATCAACCCTCAACCCTAAACGCAAAAGCCTCAACCCTAGAAGGAGCTACAGGTCGAAGGTAGTTCAGGATTTCGGGGTCGGGAGGCCACGGGGGCATCGGGCAGTGGCCAATGATTTAGGAGTTTAGGGCTAAGGAATTACGGGTTCAGTGGTTTAGGGGTTTGGGGATTTAGGGTTTAAAGGTTTTGGGTTTCTGGGGGCCATAGACAGGCAAACCGCGCCATGAAAAACCCTCTAAGAGCTGTGTCTTTTACGAACCTTCCCTTCGCTGTCATATGTCAAGTCTACCGAAAGCTGCCGAATGGAAAGTTTGAATGTTTCCAAACTCCGATATGGCTGTCCTTACGCTTGCAGAAGACAGAAGAAGAAGCAAAGCGAGGCGTCCGGGTTTTTATAGGAAAGGCTTCTGCCACTGATACATGCATTTCTTAATCTATCTATTTGGTGCTGTCCGTGGGCAAGGCCTGGTAGACCAGTAACGTTATGGCATATCTCATGGTAACCCATTATGGCATACCTGAAAGAAGCCTTCTGATAGGTAGGGCCCAGGGATAAATTAGGTTGCAAGTCGTGCTGCAGGTCTGGCTGCGGAATGCCCGTGAAGTACTGCCGGTGGGCCTCAGCCATTTCGGAAGCCCTACCTGAACCCCATATTTCCCCAAGGTTTTTTAGGCTCCTTATGATGATTTCCTTATATACGTCCTCAAAATGGTAGGTTCTGTAGGATCCAGGCCCTCAACCCTAAGCCCTAAACCCCAAAACCTTAGGGCGCGTGAGTTGAGGGCCGTTGTTTATGACTTACGCCTGAAAGCGTAGGAATCGGCTCGGGGTTAACGCCTCAACCCTAAACCCTAAACCCCAGAGGGGTTTAGAGGGTTTAGGGTTTAGGGGGTTTAGGGGGTTTAGGGGGCTTAGGGGGTTTAGGGGGTTCAGGGGGTTTAGGGGGCTTAGGGGCGTGGGGAAGCTGTGTGTCCTGAAACTTCGATATACTGAGACCTTGCTCAGGAACTTTATTTTACGGTAAGGTAGGGGCCTTAGTAATTAGAATAGGCTTTCGGGGTTCGTTATACTGTAATTTTATTAAGGAACCCCTCCAAAATAGCATAGGAAATATTTAGGCCCCTATACTACTGTAACCGGGATCTGAAGGAAGTACGTATGGCTTCCTTACTAGCTTAAGTTCAGTTCCTTAGCAAATCCTAACAAGAACCTAGCATAGGCTTAGAGGGCGTGGTGGTGGGGGTACATACTCAGGCCTAAACTAATATGGGCAGTTCTCTAAATTAGGGCCCCCTTTTAGGTCCCCAATATAGTATGGCACCTATATAAAAAGGACCCCCCAAAAAGGACCCTAATTTGGAGAACTACCCATATGGGATCAGGAGCAGTTCCGCGCAATAGCATCTTTTGCTGCTCTTGAGGCCCTAAACCCTAAACCCTAAACCCTAAACCCTAAACCCTAAACCCTAAACCCTAAACCCTAAACCCTAAACCCTAAGTCCAGGTATAAAGCCTCTGAGCCACATTGACACAAGACATGTATACCCTACCTGCAACTCCCAGAGAGCCCAATATTCCTTAATTAAGGAATATATCTTACTGCAAAATCATAATCTTATAGGGCCCCTATCATTCAAGGTATATTTCCTGAATAAAGGGGTATTGGGCTCTCTGACCCTTGAGAACCTCCCTCTTAGGGCTGTAGCCCTTGTTTCTACTGTCATATGAGCACCTGAATCTGCAGCCCTTTCAAGACATAACGTGCACCTGAAAACCCAAAATTGCGCCCGAGAAGAATGCATACCAAACTTATTCTAGCACCCGTGCGAGGCTTCAAACCCCACACACCACCCCAAAATCCTAAACCCTAAACCCTAAACCCTAAACCCTTCCAGCGGCATGAACTGCCATGTGCTGTGGCGTCGCCGCGCTCCGGTGGACAGTGAATGACTGGGTCCGCGGATGCTGGAAGCGCTGCCCGGTAACTTGACCCTGCCTTGGTTTCTGTTTAAAGGGCCTGGGTTTAGGGTTTAGGGTTTAGGGTTTAGGGTTTAGGGTTTAGGGTTTAGGGTTTCTTCCCAGAGGGCCTAAGTACCATTATAGTAGAGACTTAGTAGGTATTTGGGCCCCAAAGGTATATGGGGTTTCCAAAAATAGGGTACCCTAATGTAGTACCCTATATAATGGGTTTTAGGAAAGTCCCATATACTATACTAGTACTTGGACTCTTTGGGCTTGTTCTTGGGCCTGGGTTTCCTTGTTTCAAACCTTTAGCATCGGTCCGCGGATTTGAGGCTGACTGAATTGAATCCTCGCTGCAAGTTGCTCCAGGTATCATGTTGAAGGCGTTGCTGAATAATTATTGTAGGGCCCTAAAGAAGCACTTATCCCATATAAACCCCCTTATAGTGAAGCCCAATAGTGTAGGGATATCCCTATAAAATGCTTATGCTTACATCCTTTTTGGGGTCCTAATATCGAGAGGGGGGCAGGTATCAATCCAGGGCAACTTGTCCAGGTTGCCTCTGAGGCGGCATTTCCTTTACGGCCGAGACTCAAAACACAAAACCCTAAACCCTAAACCCTAAACCTTAAACCCCACACCCTAAACCCTAAACACTAAACCCTAAACCCTATTGTTTAGGGTTTAGGGCACATGCGGCACTCTCGGCGATGCCTACAAAGTATGCGGACCCAAGCTTGAAAACTGCCTGAAGCCCTACAACCCCCACTAACTAGGGTTTAGGGTTCAGGGTTTAGGGTTTAGGGTTTAGGGTTTAAAGTTTAGGGTATTACTAGACCGAATGCCTGTAGAGCCGAAGAGGCATACAGAAAGGCCCCCGATGTAAAGTCCCCGCAGAAGGTCATTCTGAAAGTCACCTTAAACCCTTAACCCGAAAACTCGATAAAACCGATAAAAATCCTCATGCAGGTTCGTATGGCCAGGCGGCGCTTGCGCCTGCATGACGAAGGACGTCGACTTGCGTGCAGGTCTTCCTGCATGCACCTTTCAAGGGGGCGGAGGGGGGGGGGGAGGAGGTCCTAAGCCCTAAACCCTAAACCCTAAACCCTAAACCCTAAACCCTAAACCGAAGGGGGTGAGGGTTCAGGGTTTAGGGGGCCTCCGGATGAACGTCTGGCATGTGGGGGCGCATAAACCTTTCAAAGCCTGAAGCGCTGCACCCTGAAATCCAAAATTCCTCAACAGCACGGGGTTCTTTCTTCGGGTTTTGGGGCGGGGTGTGGGGTTCATGAGGACATGGAGCTGCCGGACGTCTGACATGCCACAGGCCCTGATTTGGGTTTGGCACGTTCTTCGGGTACCGAGATCATGAAGGCTTCGGGTTCAAAGACGACTTAGAGGATCAGGGGAAGTGGTACATAAAGTTGGAACTAAGCAGAGCATATACAAAATGCACCAACAGTCTTATAGGCCTATAGTTAAAGTGCAGCCCAGCGTATAACTATCCATGAACCTTCAGCAGAGTGCATTGGATCTCGAGATTGGGACTTGGCCTTGCATTTTAAGCTCTCCGGCACTCCGCTCTTCGGGCATGGATTTCGAGTTCAGGCTTCTAGGGTTCTACCTTAAGAACCCCAAACCCACTTTTTTGTAGGTTCTTATTATAAACCCTAATATGGGTTTTATAGGGACCCTACAAAAAAGTTGGTTTTGGGGTTCTTAGGGTAGGGTTCTAGGGTTGACAGTAACGACATGGTTATCATCACCATCGCAACCAGCACCGAAGTACAACACTCCCTCCTCCTTTCTGAGCTCCTAATTTAAGGCCCTGAAGACTGAGCCATGACGTCCTTTTAGGGTTTAGGGGTTTAGGGTTTAGGGTTTAGGGTTTAGGGTTTAGGGTTTAGGGGTTTAGGGTTCAGGGTTTAGGGCCCAAACCTCGCAGGTGCAAAAAACACACATAGTTACACCTGAAACCCCCAAGCCAGAGCACCGTTGCCACCGCGCCATTTGTGGCCGAGCGCATCACAGCGTAGCTCACCCCACCCATTGTGACTGCGGCTGTGCTCTGTGGGTCGGTGTACGTGGGCCCTTGCCTGAGCAAAAGGAGTATATATATATATATATATATATATATATCATATACATATATATATATATATATATATATATTATATATATATATATGCGAAACTTGTCTCAAGGAACGCTAAGACATAGTACTGGTGATCTCTATATTACAGCCTCAAACCCCCATGATGGGATTTAGGGCTTAATGTAGGGGCCTTAATAATTCGAGTAGGGTTTTGGGCGCGATTATACTATAATTTTAAAAGAAACCCCCAAAATAATATAGGCAATTGTTAAGGCCCCTACATTAATTCAGAAAGCTTAAGCTTCGGGTTAGGGTTTAGGGTTTAGGGTTTAGGGTTTAGGGTTTAGGGTTTAGGGTTTAGGGTTTAGGGTTTAGGGTTTACGGTTTAGGGATGGATCCAATAATCTACCTGGTTCTTAGTAGGGAATGGGGGGGATGGATCCCTGTGATAGCCCCTTCAGGTCCCCTACGGTAGACCCAATAGCCCTTTTCTTTTTTCCGTACTAAGAACCAGTCAGCAATCTGCAACAACCCAGATCTGCTGCTTGCGGATCTTTGTGGTTGCAGGCATGACTCTGCGTCCGAACGTAAACTGATCAATTGCCCTCCGACTTCATGGAGTGTCTGCATGGTTTGGAGACCTTAGGCCCGAAACCACTGGGCCTTAATAATTAGAATCAGGTTTTGGGGTATATGGTACTATAACTATAGTAAGGAACCCCCCACAATAGTATAGGTAATTATTAAGGCCCCTAAAATAGTCCTTCAACCTTCCCCTGAAGATTGATCCTAGTTCCAGGCGCCCAGATAGACTTCTGCAAAGGGGATTCGGTTTAGGGTTTAGGGTTTAGGGCCCCCAGAGAATGGACCCACACAGAGAATTAGGTTAATGGAGTTTTGGGCTTAGGGGTTTAATAAAATAGACGAATGAATAAGTACCAATATTCTTCCTTAAGGGTTTAGGGTTTAGGGTTTAGGGTTTAGGGTTTAGGGTTCAGGGTTTATGGTTATAAGGAACCTCAAAAGCCTACTCTAATTATCAACGCCCTACAGTAGGGCTTTACCCTAAACCCTAAACCCTAAACCCTGCGGTTTAGGGCTGAGGGGCCTGGAACTCGGTCGGCTTTGGCGACGGACCCTTCAAGAACCAGGACTCCCAAGCAGGGCTTCTTTACACTAGGGCTCTTAGGGTTTAGGGTTTAGGGGTTTAGGGGTTTAGCGTTTAGGGTTTAGGGTTTAGGGTTTAGGGTTTACTTCTTCCGACACACTGTTCTGAATCTCTCGTGCTTATCGCACTCGGGACTGAAACAGAGCCACAAACAAACCGAAAGGTGGACCCTGAATCGTAAAGGTGCCATGCCCCGAGACATTCCGGAGTGAGTGGGCCGAGCTATCTTGTAGCACCTGTTCTGGGCTGACAGAGATGATACTGAGGCCAAGGTGCACGATGGGCCCCTGCCATACCGGAGGCGACTGCATCTGCTGCAGTTGCATTTGCGGCTGTAGCTGCATCTGCGGCTGCAGCTGCATCTGCGGCTGCAGTTGCATCTGCGGCTGCAGCTGCATCTGGTAGCCTGTCTGCGACATGCCCACGAGACCTAAAACAAACAAGTCAGGTAGCACTAGCAATCCTGTACGTTTCTTACTTCGCGAGGTGTTCGAGCTTCGTGTTTGCATATCTCTACAGAGGCCTTAAACAGTCATCCTAAGAAAGTCTCCTAGAATACGAAGGGCCCGAAACCGGTTTAAAGCACCCGGCGCAGGTGCTGGCTGTAGTGTGCAGGGAGTAAGTTAGCTCACACACGTGAATACAAAACAGCCTTCCTGAGCTAGAGGGACTGATGACAAGTATGGGGACAACTCGACCAACGAAAGTCTGCATCTTTTTTGTTGCTGCGGTTTAGGGCTTAGGGTTACGGGTTGAGGGCTGTCCACACTATACTCAGCGCTGCGACACGAAGGGATGCTTGAAACTCGACGGCCCCTAAAATCCCGAATCCGCAGGAAATTAGTTATACTTTGGTAAACTCAAAAGAAATTAACAGTGTGGGCCTAGGGCTCAGGATCATGGGTTGGAACACCGCGATTCGGAAATAATCTGAAGCCTGCCAAACCACACACGGCTTAGGGTTTCGGGTTTAGGGTTTAGGGTTTAGGGTGCGGTAGGTTGGCTCTTTGCCCAGCCTGACACCGCACGTGTGGCAGGCAAGCTCGGGGGTGCACGCTGCACGTAGCCTGAAGAGACTGACATTGAGCATGGAGAATTCCGGAGTTCAGCTAGCGAAAGCCCAGCTTAAAAAGCCGGCGGCGAGTGAAAATGCTACTCCCAAAACTGAGCCCTGAAGTTGCAAGCTAAGGCCCAAACCCAGAATCTCTCAACCTTGAAACCCTAAACTGCAATCCCGAAACCCGAAATCCCCGAAGTCTTACAAGTGGGGTTAGTAGTAAAGAACTGCAGTTACACCCAGACTAGCTGACGCATAAACTACTAACAACTACCCATTGAACCTCCAAGTACTGCAAACTCCAAACCCAGGAGCCTGCCATTGGCTGGTTGGCGAAAGCTTGCAAGCTGGCATCCTTAGATGTCACGAAGCTATCCCTAGACCATAAACCCATCACGAAGCTATAGTTCGGGGTTTGTAGGCTTCGGGGTTTGCAATGTGTAAGGTTTTGTGTTGGGCTGTACAGTTTACGGGGAGGGTTTACGGCCGTTTAAGGGTCAGTCGTCTGGGTGTACGGTTTACGGTTTTGTATGGTCTTGGTTTGGGGTGTATGCTTCATCATATATAGGGGCCTGACCAATCAGGGTAGGGCATTGGGGTATATAGCTACAACAAGGAGCCCCAAGGAAGAGAATGATGTGCAAATTCTTCAGGCTTCTGCATGGATAATGCGGTTTCCGTACCATGGCCCCGTACACTCAACTTCCTAACAAGAACTCACTAATTCCTCAAGCTTCTACATGGGTAGTTCTCAAAATTAGGACCCCCTTTAGGATCCTTTTCATAAGGGTGCCGCCTTCTTTTGGGTTCCGAAAATAGGGACCCTAATTCAGTGAACTGCCCACGTTAAACAAGACCCTGCAAAAGGGACTCATTCCAATGCCGGACGGGCCGCGAGCCGCGTGTCAGACTCTCCAAGCTGGCGGCCATCATGCGGCATCCTTGGGGTCTAAAGCTGTCGGGTCTAGGGTTTAGGCTTTTTATGTAGGGTTTTGTAGAGTTTGGGGGTTTTGGGGGTTAGGGGTTAGGCTTCAGAGTTTAGTAGAGTTGGACGGTTTAGGGTTCTGGAAATTAGGGTTTGGGGTTACATCCCTGGGGTGTAAAGCTGTGGGCCTGCTGTTTAGTAACCCATTGCGGAAAAGTATATTCCTGTTGGGATCGTTGCGTTATCCCGAAAAGTATATCACAGAACAACCTTGACCAGGGTTCCTGCACGGGCTTCTTCAGAACGCTGCTGTGAGGATGTACTGATCATTCGGAGCCCATGCTAAAAGCTGTGGGTAAACCCTAAACCCTAAACCCTAAACCCTAAATAGATCGCAGGGCCCTTATAGACTTGGGGTGCTCTCGGGTTTAGGATCGCTTGGAGATGTGCAAGTGGGTTGATGAGGTTAACAACTAAGGGACAGGGTCTATTGATGTAGAAACCTAAGTTTAGGGTTTAGGGTTTAGGGTTTAGGGTTTAGGGAAGTACGGCCGAGACCCCTTATTGCGGATGTGGGGCGTAGGTTTCAGGACCTCTTGAAGTTTCAGGGTCTGGTGAACCCTCGCTGAAGATGTGTTCCTACCCCAACTGAACAGAAAAAACCCTAAACCCTAAACCCTAAGAGAGTGACCAACGCCCCGTTACGCAGAGCTCAAACCACAAGACCCAAAACCCTTAGACCTGAACCTTTAGCCCTAAACCCTAAACCCTAAACCTTAAACCCTAAACCCTAAAAGCTTTTAAACCCTGAACCCTAAGCCGTGAACCTTAAACCCTAAACCCTGAGACCCTACTACAGCCGGGACGGTAAATCCAAAGACCCTCTACACCCAGTAGGAATTTTAAGGATGTAGTGATTTAGGGATCTAAGGTTTTGGGGTTTAGGAATTTTAAGGAAAGAGGGATTTAGGGATCTAAGGTTTTGGGGGTTTAGGGAGTTTAAGGATGTAATGACTTAGGGATCTAAGGTTTTGGGGGCTAGGAATTTTAGGGAAAGAGGGATTTAGGGATCCAAGGTTTTGTGGGTTTAGGAATGTTAAGGAAATAGGGATTTAGGGATCTAAGGTTTTGGGGGTTTGGGAATTTTAAGGATGTAATGATTTAGGGATCTAAGGTTTTGGGGGTTTAGGAATTTTAAGGAAAGAGGGATTTAGGGATCCAAGGTTTTGGGGGTTTAGGAATTTTAAGGAAATAGGGATTTAGGGATCTAAGGTTTTGGGGGTTTACGGATTTTAAGGATGTAGTGACTTAGGGATCTAAGGTTTGGGGGGTTTAGGAATTTTAAGGAAAGAGGGATCTAGGAATCTAAGGTTTTGGGGGTTTCGGAATTTTAAGGAAATGGGGATTTAGGGATCTAAGGTTTGGGGATTTGGGGGATGTAGGGTTTGACTTTGACGTTCGTCCAAGAGTCCGGGCGGGACCTGGGGCGGTCTGAACCGCCTGGGCAGCAAGCGGGGAAGAGTTTGGGTGGGGAGTGACTATAGGAGCTTTAATAATTGAATAATTGAAGGAGGGCTGCTTTGATGCATGTATACGGGTTTCTTAACTGGGCCCTCGGTCAAGTTTCGGAGCAAGGAAGCTTCATTGAGTCTGCGGAATCCTCAACTGCGGAACAAGCCAGAAGTTGGAGAAAGCCTCTAGAGCGGGTTTTAAGTTTCGGGCGTAAGTTTAGAGCTTAGGGTTTAGATTTAGGGTTTGGGGCTTCGGGTTTAAAGTTTAAGGGCCCCATTATCCCAACGAAAGCCCGGAATGATCCATCAAGTCCAGGCCGATTAGCAGATTGCACTCCACGGCCTCCACGGCACAAAGCCCAAATGGATCGCACCCAGCCCCCCAAAGCCCGGAAACTCGAACCCTGAACCCTCAGCCGTAAAAAGAGGTCCTGAACCTGCACGCCCTAGCACCGCAAGCCCACCTCTGAAAGTTAGGTGTCGCTTTAAGCTTCAACAACAGTAGGTCTTGCTTGGTATAGAGTCGAAGGATTCGGGTGTAGCGTGTTGGTGTAGCAGAGCTTCGGGTGTTCTGTTTACTGCCTAGATCTTAGGAGGTTGTTAGGTTTTAGGGTTCAGGGCAAGTGCTCAGGTGGCCACGTTTATGACAGTCGCTCTATGCACACACACACACACACAGACACACACCCTGAAAGCCTTAAACTCCAAACCCTAAACCCCAAACCCTAAAATCTTAACCCTAAACTCAAACCCTAAACCCCAAA